CCTTCGTGGAGGACAGGCCCGCGGACGTCGTCGAGGACGCCCTCGACAAGCTCGCGGCGCCCGACGGCGCCGCGCGCGCGCCGGACCCCGCGGAGGCGCTCTTCGACGGCTGGGGCGCGTCGTCCGGCGACGGCGCGGCTTGGGGCGCGGCGCCCGACGGCGACGCCGCGGACTGGTCCGCGGACGCGACCGAGGCCTGGTCCGGCGACGCGGCCTGGGACTCGGGCGCCGACACGGCGTCGATCCTCTGGGGCGACGCCGACGACGTCGCCGACGACGTCGCCGACGACGTCGAGGACGACGTCGAGGAGCCCGCGGCCGTCGAGGCCGTCGAGGTCGAGGTCGACGCGGACGAGCTGCTAGACCTCTTCGCCGACGAGGCGGCGGAGCAGTACGAGGAGCTCTACGAGGACGAGCGGCTCGGCGTCGCGTGCTCCCACGAGCTCATCGACGAGGACGAGGACGGCGACCCCGTGAGCCTCTGCTCGAGCTTCACGTACACGGCTGTGTGGATTCCAAATCTTCAACCCGACTTCAATGTGAGCGTATTCGAATGTGTTGACACGACCACTTCCGCCGTGCTTCGAGAACTCGCTGAGAGCAATCGATCCGTCCAAAAATCAGCCGAATCGACTTCGATTTGACCGAGCTAGAGAATTCTGAAGTTTGGCCCCGACGTCCCAGCTCACTGGTTGATTTGCACACAGGTACGTCGACGAGGCGACGTGCGTCGGCTGCACCATGTGCGCCACCATCGCGCCCCAGACGTTCCTCATGACGGACGACCACGGGCGGGCCCGGTCCTTCAACCAGGAGGGCGACGACGAGGAGACGATCCGCGAGGCGATCTCGACGTGCCCCGTCTCGTGCATCCACTACGTGCCCTGGGACGAGCTCGTGGCGTTGGAGCGGAACCGCGAGGCCGTCATGTTGAGCTACAACTTCAAGGGCCGCCTCGTGGGCAACGAGGGCCTGGGCATCGCCGCCGACGGCGCGGGCGAGGCTTTGCAGGAGATCTCGACGAACTCCGCGCTCCGCTGCAACAACTGCCCGACGAACGAGTGCCGCGACTGCCCCATGTTCGGCGTCGGCGACCGGGCCAACGGCGCCCTCTGCGGCAACTGCCCGTCGAACGGCTGCCAGGGCTGCCCCCGGGCCATGGAGTACCCCGAGTTCTCGAAGCGGCGCGCGCGGCGCGACCGGAAGCGGCGCGCGCTCGAGCGCACGCGCAAGGAGGAGGCCGCGGCGGCGCTGAACCTCGAGGACCGCAACGTCGAACTTTAATCTGTGCATAGTAGACCTGGGAGATGGGGCGACGATGCGGATACGGTCCGTACTGAGGCCTACACCGGGGGGTCAGGCTCGCCTTGCGAGGACGCCTCCGCTATTCGCCTAATTCTCGACTTTTGAGTGCCAAGCGCCGACGCCGGTGCCGAGTCTGGAGAAATCGCAGCGGGGTACGTCGGCCCTGGCAGTCGGCCCCCGGTGCCGTATGCTCCCCCGTCTGGACCTCGCGGCCTCCGAGTGCGTAGCGTCCCCGATCGAGAGCCAAGCTCCGCGGGCCGCGTCAGGAGCCAAGCTCCGCGCCAGGGACGTCTGGGCCCCTGCAACAGGGACGAACCCGGCCCCTCGAAAGGAGCCCCCCCGGGGCCCGGTGCGGCTTTAGTGGGCCCCCCAGTGCCCGCGTCCGCCCAAGGCAGGCGCGTAGGCGGGGTGCGTCGCCTACTTAAGTAATGCGCTAGAGAGAGTGG